AACAAAAGCCAAGGGGGGGGAAATTACAAGAAGAAAGACAAAGACAATCAGACAATACGAACAATTTAAAAGCACAACAGGCACAGCAAATTCGAGTAGGGGGGGGGGGACTCAACCCAAGGCTTGCTGGGACAGCCAGGTCTTCACGGCCGCCCGGAAGGCCCGAAGGGTGGAGAGGTAAGAGAAAAGGTAAGAGAACCAGTTTGGCTCTGTGGCACATAGTGTCACTCCAGCCCAGCTCCACCGTGCATACATGTGTGCCTCCTGCTGGCCAGCTGGTCTTCGGGTCTTTGCCACACATGCGCAAAGGACCGGGTACATGCAAGGGGCACATGTGTGTGCATGGGTGGGGTAAATGCGCAGGAGTGTGTCCGCATTGCATTTTGGAGGCTCTTACAGCCCCCCATGCCCTAATTTGAGCCTGGAAGTCCTCCTACCCCAACCTGAAAGCCAAATCTGGGCATAGGGACACCACATGACCCCCCCCCCCCTTTCCGGCACTCCATTTCATGCCTGGAAAGCCTCCTGCACCAACCTGGAAGCCAAAAATGTGGTAGTGGGAGGCAAAGGAGCATGGGGGAGACACATACATTGCATTATGGGTGTGGGTGCATGTGTGCACACTTTCGGCACACAATAACAAAAATGTCAGCCATCTTTGGAGAATGATACAATTATGGCTGGAACAAATGGCGGGAGATCAAATTATGTTCAAACCAGAATTTTTCCTCCTAGGTCTAATACCAGAGGGGTATAAGAAAGATGTGCTTTATCTAGTTATCCATTTATTGACTGCGGCGCAAATAACCTATGCACAGTATTTGAAGTAAAAAAAACAAAGTTTTCCATCAGAGTTAGACATAATTAAGAAAATTTTGGCCTGTGCAGAAGCAGATAGAATTCAAAAATAAAAAGGGAGTCGGATTATTATGAAGTTTGGAACAGATTTTATTATTGGTATAAGGCAAGGGCAACAAGACTGGAACAAATTGTAAATAACGTGATTGGATAGAAGGATAGATAATGTACTAAGTAGGCTCACAGCTAATGGATGAGATTATGTGTATAGGTTGTGATTGTATGGACATAACAGCTTTGCTGTGCTGCACTATTTTAAATGCAAAAACAATATATATATTGCATCTTAGGCAAACATCTTAGCCATTAAGCCACAGGTCTCCTATATATATATAGGAGTA